ATTAGCTTTGATGTAGCATTATTCATTGACTTTGCTGCTCTATCCGGGCTAACGAGGAACATTTTGCCAGTACAGTGGTGCTTTGGTGTACTATTTTATCCAATTCCAACTGCCAAGGGTTCTCTTACGTGTGGCACTGACAAGGGAAACCACGCTGACCACACACCCCTCCCCCTTACTCTTCCGGTTTGTTTGCAACTGGGAGCAGTTTAAGGTTTTCCGAGAATGACAGGCATTCAGACAGATCTAATCCCATTTGGATATTGAACTATTTATAATAATAAAGTTGTGTTTGTGAGATACCTTTTCTATTCAGTGAGCTACTTATATTGTCTCCGGATATACAATTTCGACTTTAGATTACGTGAGTGGTGTCTATTTCAACTGTTCACATTTTAATCACTCGGAAAATATTTGCATAATATGGTCTATATTCTTGTATACTTTCAAAGGTTGTCTGGTTTCTGTCCTATTTCCAATTAATTATTATAAAAAAAGAAGAAATTATATTGGTTTATGACACACTCGAGTATTAATGAGGTATTGCGTGGAGCATATGTCTGTTTTCCTATAATCTATACACAGGTGAATTCAAATATTTATCATGTTTGTGACCTAAATTCGAGGTGTTTTTCTTCCGTATATGAGATGTGTATATAATATGTGAAAGCAAACAGAGAGGAGTTGAAAAAAAGACGAATTCGTCGAATTATTCATATCGCTACTTAATAAATTGACTAAATTTCCTTTCCATATTTGTTTCGATCAGTCTATGGTATTTTCGTCAAGAGAATGAGCAGAACGATTTTCGATCTCATCAACATCCATAGCTCTCTGAAAATCGCCCATGCATCTCTGATATTTGTTTATACAAGAAGAGTCTTTCCGCACAATAGTAGGCTAAGATCTATTGAGTCGGGTTGATATTATGGACTGGGCTATAGATGTGTACATTCAAGTGTTGATCCCAATAATATTGACTCTCACCGTATGAAACATGTAATTTGTAATGACTAATAGTTGGTTCATTTAGCAGGAATAATTTTCTAAAATAAACCATTCCGGTGCCCAAAATACCAATATTTCCTCTTCGAAAATCGATATTCGCAATATGGGAGCTGTTATTTTTGCTGTTTTCCTTTCATTTTTTTTTATTTTTTAAATTGTTAACATACACAAAAAAAACCCAACAAACAAACAAACATTGTGAAACTAATTAAAAATTGGATCTTTCTTTTTCGTCTAGATGTCAATTTTTGTTGTCCTGATAATCCAACAACACTTCCGTATCCGCTTTCTGCCACGGCGATTGGTCAAATCATTATTGCCCTAGACAAGGCTGCGGGCATCTTTCATTATATAGATGAGAGGTCTGGTCAGATTAATTGAACACGGACATATAGCACATGTACGGATCCAGCGGGTTCGGGCCCCCTCTCCCCCTTATTCAACGTTCCATATTATTTGTGGTAGCACCATCCACCACCGTACGCCACCTAGTGTGTGTTTTGAACCTTCGGCGTTCGCGAATTGTAACTACAACACTTCAATATAGAGATCTAAAATTTATACAGGTTTCAAAGGCATTGCTTACAAAATTAACCAGTTTTAACTGAAATATATTTGCGATAGTTCCTTAGAGACACATTAAGGTAGACCGTCCTCATGTATATCCCAAAAGTTAAAAGTATATTAAAGCAGCTAAATCGCTAATATTTGGGACCTAGAAATTGATATAAATGGGTCGCAACGCAAATAATAATGTAATATGAATGTATATAAACTGAATTGCATTCCAATCGGATGGTAATCTCCAGCGTCTGGTTATTCCATTCTACACCGGTAGTATTTATTGCACATGCTCTTCGGATATGAATATTGCGTCACCGTTTGACATGACTTGTGGAATATGGACCAAACTTGAAGTTGGCCTTATCAATCAGATCTAACCTTGTGGAATATATCTAGTCTCGTTCTTCGAGCCCCTTGTTACAAATGGCGCTGGAACGCAATCTGGTACACAATTCGTGTATTTTGTTTTAAATATTGGATATCAAAAGCCTACCTTTTCTCGGTAAGATCACAACATCAATGTTGCTTTAAACTGACAAATAATTCGTGTTTTCAATGTCGAAGACTGTGGGAGATAATGAATTAAAGACTTAATTACTTAAACGACGTAATTATGCAATTAACGTCCCGGTGTGGCATTTTAACGCTATAGGAAAGATGATTCTGTAAAAGGATTGTCAGTCACAAATGGTCCAATTCCGTTCAGAGATATGTGGAATTGAAATTGCAGCGATCTATATCCTGTTTGGCTATGTGATAAACCAGTTGCCATTTTGTTGGTTGCAAAAATGTATTGCTGGACAGTTTTTAAATCCAATTGAATCCAAGCCGAGACATTATCTAGAGTAAGCATTTTGATATGGTTTTCTTAATTAAATATTAAACAATCAATTAAGGGCATAGGCTGTGAGAAATTTTATTTTTTACCGACAAATACAAATAGTGTATCGTTACATTAAACACACCCCACTTTGAGAAATGGGCTGGCTTGTATAAAAAAGGTGGAATTATTATTACTTGATCTTGAACATAACCGGTATGAATTGAATAAAAAACCAATGTAAGCTATCAATAGCCATAATGTAGGCCTATGTAAGAATGGGTCCATTTGGCCCGCATTGTTTAATAATTAAGAAGGTGACATAAAAATGCGCGTGCAACATCCTTTCATGTGGACAAACATATAGTTTACGGTGTATCTGTTGCGTGGTATGGAAAAATATTTCGTATAGTGGACGTATATGAATAACAGTTTTAAGCATGCCATTATCTTGTACATAACAACCGTTACTACTGATAGGGGAATATATTTATAAGCACCATCCCAATGATTTAAACCAAAATGTACATGTGGACTCATAATAAAAGAAGTACAATAAGCATATCCTGCCTCTTGACAATTATGTAAAGGGTACATAAGGTGGCGAAAATATCGATCTCAGGGTAAAATACTCCTGATCATTGTAAAGAACGGTCTGTCTCGGAAAAAGAACATCGATTTCAGAATCTGTCCTTTAATCTTCATCAACAACTAGACGTAACTGCTATAGGAGTACAGGTAGTATGTGTGGTATACAGATTCTTGTATACTTTTGGCAAAAAAAAAAGAAAAAAAGAAAAATCAACAAAAACATACGCTCAAAATCCCTTAAAAACCGTAAAACAAAATATAAATATACACGTTCACTAATAATTATTGTTTTAGATTTTAATTTGCGCAATATTTAGGTAAAGTCTGAATTAAAAGTATTAGAAATGATATTTTAATGGGTTTTTTTTAGAAACAACGTTGAAAACTGCAGAATGCTCAATAAAACATAACCAACAAGAAAAACAAAAACAACCTGGATTTACATCACAAACAACTGGGGAGAAACCAGTTCCACAAGTGCTATGATCGATCCTTGACGAACTTGACAGCAAATAACTGCACGTAAACATTATATGACACCTGTCTACGGACTATTTTGACATCAATTACAGAAAATAGAAGAGTTGGAAAAAAAAAAAAAAAAAAAAATAATAATCCGAGGTTCTTAAAGTATTCCTCACTGAATAAACACCAAGGAAAGTATGATGGCTTTTCCCGTGTATATATAGATATTCCAACAATCGCATTATCCGAAAGAACGCAGATTTTGATTGGAGTCTTTTCAATCGGCTTATAGCTTTAAAATAGTAAAATTTGAATACAGTACTAAAATATGGCCCTTAGATACATCAATGGTCGGTCAATTGTGAAATCGTCAGTAGGCCTCGGTTTATTGTGTATTGCAAGTGTATTATTACGTTACCCAAATACGGATGAATATTCTATAATTCATTTTGCAAATGGGTGTACGTTTGAAAAATATCATGGAACATGTCCACGAAAAACATTTTCATTTTGGGCCGAAACGCTCACAGCCCCAAACCACACACCTAAATATGAATTTCGTTCCGACGGGCGTGATATGTATTAGTGAAGATCGATGTACCGGTACATCAAGATTTTTATCCACGTAGTGATGATAATCAGCCTAGGTAAAATAGTGCCCCGAATTTGGAGGCATGAAATAAAATGGTGTTTTAGTAACGTCCTGGGCCTGTTTCACGAAATTTTAACCAAGATAAAATCCAAATTTTTTATCTTTAGTCAAGATTTCGACAAACAGGGCCCAGGCGTACAGCACCATCCGGACTAATGGGAATACGCAAAGCAGTGTGCAGTGAAGAAATCTTTTCCCCGGAACCGAGATACTCCAGCTATTTTGAATTCCAGCTGTCAAGGATTCTTTTGCGGGACCTCTGTTTTTCATCCCATCCGATCGACTAGACGCTGTTCCTTGGGATGCGAGAGCAAAATTATAGTTAAATGTATAGACCCTACAGTATATAAAAAGCAAATATCATTAATATTAATATACATATTCATTTATTCCGCGCACTGAAAGGCTATCAATCGGAATTATAAACCCTTTTCATTTTACCCCATCAAACAATACAAAAAAATATGCAATTAATTCTAATGTACGGTTATCATTTTTGGTTGCATTCACTCTCTGTGAAACTCTCTCAAGTATGTACCTGTTACAGTGATCAAAGTACCGCATGTTCGATCAAGCGCGCACGCCTGGGTATTCGCGCGTGGCCCTTTCATGAAAATCGATACTTGGCTGTGTTATTTATTCATCGCTCTACAATATATTGAAGGTTTGTACTTCGCGCAAGCCGACATATCATTTTCACAGCTTACAAAACAGATGAGACCTGTTAAAACAAATTTTACGCTAGTCCTAATTTTCATCACGGCTGCTAGACCTCGTCCCTGTCTGACCGATTCCACAGAATGACGTTTGCGGATGAAGCCAATAGTACTGCGGCTGTGCGGAAGAAGATTTCCAGCTGCTGTGATGAGGCAGTAGACGATGCTATGAGAGTAGCTATGTTGTTATAACGAATACGATGATAGCGTGAAAAGATGTATAAATGGCATAATGTCTGCTCCTAAATATATCGTTTATGTATGCCAGACCTTTTGTGTGCCTATTGTGTCAATCTCGTCGCAACATACTGTTTAGTAGTACTGCCGTTCTTGTGATTTAGCTTATATTTTATTACGTAAAATTTTGCACAGCCATTTTTCCTTAGTGTAATACTCTGGTTTGGAAATATGAGTTAACTGTGTCTGATCATCTAAGAATTAACAATGCCTGTGCGACGAGGACATGTGGCCCCTCCCAACATCTTTATTGATACCATAATTAGAAAATTCGATGGACAAAGTGAGTATAAACTGTATTTTACCATAGTGTTATACATTGTTTACATTTATGACTGATATTCATACATTTTTGAGTTCTGAATTTACATCATGTTAATATTTCTGTTTTATGTTATGATTCCTGAGTTATTATTACTCTTATACATCTACAGTTAGATATATTCATTAAGTATATATGCATATTCCAATATTTCAACATTCATAATTATCAAAATCAGAGGCGAAATTTAGTTTTAAAATGAAGACATAAGTGCTCAAATATACAAGAATACAACATGTGTTGTGTATGTGAATTTCCAAAATAAACCTGAAGTGGTGTTGAAGAAAAGAAGACATACCCAATTATATACTGAAAATTGTTGGGAGACATTGAATATTTACAGCTTTAACAGTAGACTTAGCTATTGAATAGAACACAAATTATGTTTGTAATTTGAAAAATGAAGCTCAACACAGATACTTTATTAAAGATTTCATACTAAATGTCAGCTTTTCCAGTACTCAAATCATATCTAATTTTTAAGACCACATAAACTGTGATCATGATTCAAAATACAATTTTTTTTTACCACTCTTAGGCTCTTTGAACTCACTTGACATTGCCATTCTGTGTGTGTGCGCATTTTGATGAAGTCTTAGTCTAGTCCGTCTTCAAACTGTCCATTTACATGTACACTACTTTTGGGTACGAAAATAGTGATTTTATTAACAGAACACATGTAGGCTATATAATTCAAGCTTCGGATGTAGGAGAAATCTGAGTAATGAACTGTAGGTGTCTGCAGATGACAAAAGGAAGCATCTTTTCTTATCGGACAAACCTTCCAGTCAAGTATTCTACTTCCAGTTTTTTCCATCTCAGGAGACATTTCATGCATGAGTTGTTCCTCCTTTTAGTTCATCTCTATCTGTAAGCACCACGCTGTCAGAGGTCTACTTTTAGTTTTTTTCATTTCATGCATGAATGACTCCTCATTTGAAGTGTGATAACACATTTTTTAGTCTCTGGAAACTAAAATTGATTGAAGGATATTATAATGATTACTTGGATTGATTATTGAATAAAACTGTAAGAAAACTGACAGTAACAATTTAATACTGCATTGTCTAACAAGTTTTAAAAAACAAATTTGTCAGATTTTTAAAATTTTTCTATGGGCATTCTAATAAAAGATAAATAAATAACATGGGATGAGTTTCCTACTTGTACCGGTATACATATATTTATGTAAATTTAAAATGGCAATAGTGTTAATAATTCATAGAACAAATGATCAGCATCTACATTTTACTAGCTGACAATCAAATTCGTATCTTTTTACAGTAGAATATGTTATTGAGAGTTAAATATTAGACATTATTCGAGAGGGTTGCATGCAACAGAGACTTATTTATTAGAATATATATACAAGTAGCTTAATATGAATATTTACCAATTAATATGGTTAAATACTGAGGAATGGTGATCGATTGTTCTCACTCGCATAGCCATAGACTCATTGGTAGTTTAATATTCTGGATGTTTGTCTACCGTGCCATCCTTGTCAGTGAAATATTGTTCTACAGAAGTATTTTAGACCAAAACATTGGAGTTGCAAGAGTAGTTTGTCTTTTTGGGGTTCCTAAACAATGTAAATTTAAGGTATATATTGTTTTATGCATGATTTGATATTTATCGGTGAAAATTAACATAAACATCATATTTTGAATTTGTAAAACCTAAATGACCGGTTTCATTTACATGTAGATGTAAAATCATTGAAACTTGGTTAATATCTCACATTTGTTGCAATAAAAACTCATTACCTGTAGTCATTGATTGCTTGAAGGGAATATTTACTAAATGTTATAGTGGCCGTCCTCAATTATGACTAGTAACAATATGGATAACATATAATGACCAACAAAATTTAGTTTGAGGGCTATGCATATACAAATGTGTATAAAGGTGTCCATATTTTTGGCCATGTTTGTATCTGTTCTATCCTGAAAACATACTTGTATATGTACATATGTAAGATAAATAGAAATAAACTCAATTACATGTAACAATCTCAAAACCAAAATATCTAATGTAGAAATGTTCAGTTTGTGTGCAAAGTCAAACAAGAACTTTTGGGTATCTAGGAATTGCATTATTAAACTAACAATGTATCTGCACATTCTGTAAGAGTGTGTATATTATTGTCTCAGATATACATATACATCTAGAATGCAATTACCAGCAATATGCTTGATCGATATCCATCTTAATGAATACAGATTTCAAAGCTGCTTCATAGATTTTGTGTTTTATGAGCTGATCATTTGCAGTGACTTGACGAGGTCAGAATTTCCCTCAATTTCATAGTTGTCAACTATGTGTTAACTCTATGATGTAGACATTATATTACACTGAATATTTAACTTTGATACTATGAAAGACAAAGTTCCATGGACTGGCAAAATAGTTATTAGCTGGTCATTTGATGCATAGTTGTGACCATGAACATCTGTGTTATAGACAAGCCCAGTGGCATGTGGTATCAGGTGTTTTGAGAGTCCTGTAGGCTCAACAGTGTCATTACAAGTATTCTTTGACGTGCTTGATATGCCCCCCCCCCCTCCCTCCACAGTTGGAATTTGATAGAGTAGGCAAAAATTTTCTCCAAAGCTTTGGATACAGATTTATTTTCAAACTGATTAAAGTATAATAATAGGAGCTACTAAAAATCATTCCTTTCTTTCACAACTTGGGGATCACGTGGGTAAGTGGGTAAGACGCTAGCTCGCTAGCCTGGAGGTCGGGTGTTCTATCCCTGCATTGGCCGAGAAAGTTCATCCAGATTTTCCGGCGTGGTTCTCCCTTGTCAGTGATGCAGGACGGAGGGGCTGACAAGGAAAGCTGTCTAGTCGTTCGGATGGGACGAAAAACCGAGGTCCCGTGTACACATTGGCGTGCACGTAAAAGATCCCTTGGCAGTTGGAATTCGATATAAGAGTAGGCCGTAGTGCCGCTGTCCGGGCAAAATTTCCCTCATAGCACACTGTATGGCGTATGCCCGTCTTCATTAGCCCAGGTTAGGAGCAGAACAGTAGGACGTTAAACTCCATTTCATTTCATTTCATTTCTTTCACAACTTAAAACTGTACAAATCATACTGTACTGCGATATGGTGCAAATTCCTATTTGCTACAAATATTTTTAGCACTTGGGGGGAAAAAAATAAGAAAAACAACAGCAAGTTGTGACTTCTTCATGTGTATCCATTATACATGTATTTATTTTTTTATTTTAATTGAAATATAACATACATGTATTATTGTGTAAATGGACTTAATGTCACATCAATTCACATCCATTACATAATATCAGTTTTAAAAAGTAACATATATATGATGTTTTTGATTGCGTGCAGACAGCCATCAATGAAGAATAGAATCTAGTGATGGAATAGTGATTATTTTTCTTTCTTTTTTTACTAAATAATTGAGTTTGGTCATTAACTTGATGGTATTTACTTCATTTGTTAGAAACGTTGTATAATTTTATTTTCTATGGTATAGTGCTTAAAGTTGATGTCAAGCGTGTAGAATCTGTAGAACAAAGTTTCTTGAAGGTTTGTTTACATATACATATACCAACACAAAAAAGAAACACTTTGCAAGAGCATTGGTACTAAGTAAAGCATTTTGGGAGTTTGCTGCAAGTTATTTGATTGTTCGAGAGATTGAAAACAGTTCTCCAACAAAGGGACATATTGGCTCAGCAATTCAGACTGGGCTGAATCAAATGAAATGCTTTGAGGGGGTACATGTACATGTTTTCTTTGTTCATTTTTAATGAACACTTCTTTTGGACAAATGAAATGAAATGGGGTTTAACGTCCTACTGCTCCGAACTGGGCTAATGAAGATGGACATACACCATACAGTGTGCTATGAGGGAAATTTTGCCCAGACAGAGGCACTACGGCCTACTCTTATATTGAGTTCCAACTGTCGAGGGATCTTTTACATACACGCCAATGTGTATACGGGACCTCATTTTTTCGCCCCATCCAAACGACTAGACAGCTGTCCTTGTCAGATTCCCAATCCTGCATCACTGACAAGGGGGAACCACGCCGGAAAATCTGGATGAACTTTCTCAGCCAATGCAGGGATCGAACGCCCGACCTCCAGGCTAGCGAGCTAGCGTGCTAGCGTCTTAGCCACCATGACCCCCTTCTTTTGGACAAGGAACTGAGTCCCAAGCGCTACTCACTTTCTTGTTCTTGTTGTTTTTCTTGGTTGTGACAATCTTCGAACAATCATTAGTACGATCAACATGAAACTTGGCATGCTTGATCCTTTGACAATTGCGTATATCGATTTTTAATATGTTGCAATTCCAATATAAATGCGATGACATCATGCTCTATTCCTGGTCCATAGCATGCTTGTACTTGTTTTACTAAAATCTCAGTCCTGTGTTAAATTGTTTGCATATTTGATTTACCTTCCGTAGCTGACATTTTCACCATATGAGATGAAAATCAACTAGAATAATCATTATTTGATGTAAAACTGTGAAAAAATTATCCTCATCCTTATTTTTTTTTTTCATTTTTAAACCATAAAAAGCAAGTCTATAAAAGACCCATTACTCCCAGGATAATGAACATTTGCCTATGAGTTAGATAAAATAATCTAATTGCTATTAAAGAACTTGGATTGTTGGGAGGCTACAATGCATTTTATTACCACTAGTCAACAAAAAACTGCTACCCATTGATAATAATGAATGAGTTTAATCAAACCAGAGTATATAATATAAATTGATTGTCACAAAAGATTCAAAGAAATTCCCAACAGAGATGTTATTTCCATTCTGTTTTGTCTGTGCTCTGAATGGCAGTAACCACTAGCATCGTTGAAGTTCTGATGGTTCAATACATACAATACACGTATTGTCCGTGCAATAAACACAGCATATGATATCAAATTATCACATTTATCATGATTAAAGCCAACATTAAC